CCCCCCCCCCCTTGTAGGCAGCTGACTAGATGGAAGGCAACCTGGAGTTATAGTCCCACATGTTGGCATGGGAGCTGTAACTTCCCCACTGCTGGCTAGATGTGTTGTGCCTCACTGTTTGGAGCACTGCAGCGGGAGGAAGAGCTGCTGGACATAGTGGGGGACCAAGTAGCACTGGGAGCAGCCCTGCTGGGAAGCTGTGCACACAGACCTTGGCAGTGCTATCTGGCAGGTGGGAATGTGGCATGGGCTGCCCTGGGCAGGAGTAGGTGGGGCTTAGCCCCATGCAGAGTGCCACTGAGGCAGCCCGGTGGGGGAGGGGAGGGTGACATGTCTGCAACCTGTCTGGGCGAGCTCTGTTGCATGCCCTCCACACCCTACACTCACCCCACATGCCTACTCCCTCACATGTCCCTGAAAGCTTGCAAATAAAGACTTTGCAAATATCTAGCTGGTCTAATAAGATATCACCTCTACCAAGAGTTCTTATTCCTTTTTGTTTGTAGACCAACACTGCTACAACCTGTACCCCCCCCCCATCACAGGCACCTGCATACCCCACCCCCCACATACAAGAGTGAGACCTGTTTTTTGAGCTATACTTCTTTTAGTACACATAGAGGTGATTGCATAATAAGTCAAGGCAAAAATATTTTGTTTTTAATTAAAATTAAACCGCAGTAGATGTTTGGTATTTAGGATCTGATCTGTTAACTTGTTAAAATGATATTGTCTGAAATATTTATGCAGCCTTTGACAGCTCACCAAAACTCATTAGGTGGCCATGCAACTGAAATAATTGCCCACCCCTGTTCTAGGATCACACCTCTAATTTCATAACTGTTTTTTGGGGGTGGGGATTATAGGTTGAAGGAAGACAAGAATGGGACCTAATGGGTCTAATGCAATATATTAAACCCCAAACCCTATATTTTCCAATCATGACAATGATGAATTGCTGCCTGTTTGGGTTTTTTTTGTTTGTTTGTTAGGTGGATCTTTCAAAAGATATTCAGCACTGGGAGTCCCTCAAGCCTGAGGAGAAATACTTCATATCACATGTCCTAGCCTTCTTTGCAGCAAGTGATGGCATTGTAAATGAAAACTTGGTGAGTGTGTATGAAGAGCAGTCCTGTTTAAATCATAAGCAGTTGGGCTAGCGTGGAGCTAACCAGATAGAACCATATACATCAGATGTTTACTAATGGACTGCTGTGCTCCAAAACCTATTAAACACTTCTGGGTTTGTTTGGTTTTTTTGGAAGGAGGCCTTGTTTTTTCCCTAAAGCCAGCATTGTTCCTTAGACTAGAATCTGCATTTTTGGCAGTGAACTTCCCTGATGAGTACAAAGCAGAGTTTTTTTATAAAGAGAATACAAGGGGTTGGAGTAGATTGGTTTTTATTCTTCATTTGGTCACTAATTCTAGTCACTAATTCTAGTTTGGCTTTTAGGCAGATCACTCAGTCTCCAGATCTCCTCCTTTTTAAAATGGAGGCACTTTTCTGGGACACAGAGCCAAAGGAATGCTGGTATTCCAACTTGTGTTACCAGAATAAGTTCCGAATATTGAACTATCCTATCTTATTCCTAGTTATCGTGACTTACTTAAATATGCTTGTGTGGATTCATAGCTCTGTTGCAACCTGTAGTTGGTTGTTATTTCTATAAATGTTTAATTATTTGGTTTCTCCTTTAGGTGGAGCGTTTTAGCCAAGAAGTGCAGATCACAGAAGCTCGCTGTTTTTATGGCTTCCAGATTGCCATGGAAAACATTCATTCAGAAATGTACAGTCTGCTTATAGACACTTACATAAAAGATCCAAAAGACAGGTTAGTATCATATATTGTAAAAGGCTTAATTATTTTAAGTGGAGGCAAGAAAAGATGGAGAGGTCTGATTTTTTTGGAAGATAGTAAGTTAGGATGGTCAAAGCATTGGTAAACATGGTTAAGAACAATCTGGTGGTAGAGCAGGAAGGCAAAACATTATGCAAACAGAATTTGTCAAGTATAAATGACAAGTGATGGTAAGTTGAAGATGTAGTAGGTAGAATGTTCAAACTATTTTGCTTATGCTGTAGAGGACTAAGCCTTCATTGCATTAGCCAGTGAACAGATAAATGACCCAGTACTTGTATTTCTTTGAGAACTACAACAGCTCTTTTGACTAAATCTCCACTTTGGTACTGCCTTTCAAGGTAACTGAAATATGTGACACTTTGCTGAACTATTTTTAAACCAGTAGTTTCTAATGCAACAAAGCACACATTCCTTTTTGACAGCAACATGTACATAAAGCTTAAACTGCCATCCAAAGAACAAGTTCCTTTTTGAAAACTGGTGATGTGGAAATGGTTTAGCTCCAAGACTATCAATCTAAAAAGTATTACAGATTGAGCAATTAAAAAACAAAACAAAAAACACAACAAAACCAAACCCCACAACAAAAACAAAATCCCCCACAATTTTAAGGCTAATTTCAAAGCCATATTGCTGCCTTGTGTGAGGACTGACTGTTGCATTGAAAACCCTGGGTAAATGTGCTCAGTTGATCGGCCAGGATGACCGAGTTGGAGTGGTACAAAAATCTCAGCCCCCAAGGTCTTTACATTTAAAAATACATCAGTTGCAGGCAGTTAAAGCTGCTTCAGTGACAGCACTTTTAATGACAACTCTTAGCAAATGCTTATTGAATAGTCTGCCATGTAGACTTCTGTCTAATGTACTATACACTTTCTTCAGGGAATTTCTTTTCAATGCTATTGAAACTCTGCCATGTGTTAAAAAGAAAGCTGATTGGGCTTTGCGTTGGATTGGAGACAGAAAAGCAACATATGGTGAGTGCAGTTCTGGAGTATGCATTTCCTGGATATTGAATGTCATTCCCATGCAAGCCTTCAGTAGTGATGTTTCCTCCAAGCAGGGGTTGTCAACAGGGTATGTGTACCCCCAGGGGTACTTGAGAAGGCCCTAGGAGGTATGTGTAGATGGACGGCTGGGGACAGAGCGCTTGCCACCCATCATCCCACACGGCTGCCTTCCAGGAACAGGGATGAGGGCAGCCACGCTCCTCTGTCCTCTGGCCTGCACAGGTACCAGCTGGACATGGGGAAAGAAGCTAGCATGCGGTGGCTGCTGCTGCTGCCACCCACCACCCTACACTGCCCCTGGTGGCTGGACATGGAGCCACTGGGGTACGCTTTTTTTTTTTAAATAAGTTGAAACCCCCTGTACTAGAGGGATAGTGTAGCTACGAAGGTCAAGAAAATAGCCAAAAAGTTGGGGTTTTTTTGTGCTATCTTTTATTGGACCACCTGTGTCATTGGGAGAGATGTCAGACAGGCTTTTGGGCAATCATAGATAAATGGTGCTGGAAGGGAACTTGGAGGGTCAGTCCAGCCATCCTGGCCAAAGCAGGATCATCCCTGGCGTCGGCATCCTTGTCAAGTGTTTGTTTAAGCTGCTTTTAAAAACTTCCAAGGATGGAGATGCCCACAGCCTCTGGGTAAACCTGCTTCAGTGGCTAACTGCTTGCATTGTGAGCAATTTCTAGTCCTGTGCCCTGTAACCACAGAATAGTCCATCTTCTTCACCTATATAATCACCCTTAAGTTACTTGGGGGCTATCAAACCCCTCCTTGGTCTTCTCTTACCAGGACTAAATGTTAGCGGGTTTTGTTTTTTGTTTTTTGTTTTTTTTTTTTTTTTGGGGGGGGGTTTGTTTTGTTTTTTGTTTTAGTTTTTCCTCATAAGTTGTTTCCCAGACCTCTGGTCACTACTTTTCCTGGTAAGTTGTTTCCCAGACCTCTGGTCACTACTGTTGCTCTCTTCTAGATTTTTTTAATCTTGAGGGTGAATAGTTGCTCTAAATCTTAAAAGTAGCTTTATCAAGATTATATTAGATTAAATTACCTTTGTTCCTTCTAATGTGCCACTGAAGCAGCTCCTTTTGTGAGTGTGTTTGAGGGATTTTTTTGTTTTGGTTTTTATTTTTTTGGCATTTTGACTCCCATTTTGCCCCTTTGTGACAACCCTGCCATAGCTGCTCAAGTATTCAGCAGCTGCTCTGCAGGGGGTCTATAGCTTTATTCCTCAACCAGTCTAGAAGAGGTGATTTTTTTGCTTCCTTGAAGGATTTAATTCATGTTTTGTATGGGTTCTTGAGCTTCCCCCTACTTTCTTGTCATGTCTTTCCTCAAAAGTTAGTTGGATGTTTTCATGCCTGTTGAGGTTCTCACTTGCAGGATGAGGATGTGTAATCACTAGAGACCACAAACACTATGCATGGTAGCAGTTTGGCCCACCTCAACACTGAGTTGTCAGCTATGCACATCGTGGGGAGGGGAGGGAAGTTCTGAGCTTCAGTTTCACAGGTTTTTTCACACGGTGAAATTGCTATTTACCCAGGTAGATTATTTTAAATACTATCTGTCTTAGTGAAAAAACAAGGGGTTTTGGTGAATTTTTATTAGAGCAACTGTGGAGTTGAGAGAGATTTAAACAAGCTTTTGGGTAGAAAGTTTTCTCTCTTTCCCAGATCTGGAAACAGGCACTTTGTGCTCAAAGGTTCCTCTAACATCTTTTCCAACTCTGCTTGCTCCTATGAAATATCACCAAAAATTGTTGTTCTTGCATATTTCCTGGACCCTCGCAACTATAACGACACCCCAGTTTTTCTTATGAAGTAAAGGTGTAGAATGTGTCAGTCCCAGAGAAAACTACATAACACTAACATGGCTATAGTTTCCATCTGTGAATGGAAAAAAATTATCTGAGTTGGTACAGGCCAATGTATTGCTTTGGAGGTATAATAACGGTAAATTTTCAGTTTGGCATGAAATGTAAACTGAACTTTTCATCTGACAGGAGAACGTGTAGTAGCTTTTGCAGCAGTGGAAGGAATCTTCTTTTCTGGCTCTTTTGCATCCATTTTTTGGTTGAAGAAAAGAGGATTAATGCCTGGACTCACTTTTTCTAATGAGCTCATCAGTAGAGATGAGGTAAGAGCTAAATGAAGTTTACTATGTACCACATTTACTAATAGTGATGACAAAGGAGTTAAGCATATGCTTCAAGGCAGGATCATCCCAAGCTTTATGAATAAGGCAGGGCAAGGCGGCACCTTAGAGACCAAGTGACTTCACACTAACAAAGATTTATGAACTGACTGGTCCTGAAAAGGGCAAAGTGTGAGAATCATTTAAGGTAGTAACTAATGACACTTGCTCAGTGGCTTTCTTGTGCTGAATATGCCTTTAGTTCTAAGCAGGTACCACAAGTAGGGAAATACTAAGTTAGGTTAGCACCCAGTGCCATGGAAAAAGTTCTGTCTGAAAACAGCTCTAGCTGCCAAGGCTTTGGGTACTGGGCTGATGCCTGGTTCTTGGGTCCAGCGATGTGCTGCTGATTTGAGTGGCTCTTGTAATCAGTGTTCCTGAAATATCTTGAAATTCCTTTCCAGGGTTTGCACTGCGATTTTGCCTGCTTAATGTTCAAGCACTTGGTGCACAAACCTTCAGAGGAAAGAGTAAAAGAAATAATCTCCAATGCAGTCCTCATAGAGCAGGTATTTGGCCTTTTCTTTTAGTTGACAGATGCTAGCCTACTTTGGCATAAAGCTGAAAAGCAGTCGGGGCATAAAGCTGCCCTGGACAGCAATGTGTTTGTAAATCTGAATGCCTTTCGTAGCTAACTTTCTGTTACCTGCAGGAATTCCTGACTGAGGCATTACCTGTAAAGCTGATTGGCATGAATTGCACTTTAATGAAGCAGTACATTGAATTTGTAGCTGACAGACTTATGCTGGAACTGGGATTTAGCAAGGTAAGACTTCTAGGCAGCATCTTTAATACAGGGTCTCATTCGGTTCATTGTTCCCTAAGACCACTGAATAACCAAAATGGCTGCCACCATCCATTTAACCTGGTCATCTCTTGATCACTGGGTTGCTTCTGCTGCCCGTGCCCTGTCTGGAGACCTGCAACATGATTTAATACCTAGTGGCAGGCAAGTGAACAGAATGAAGGGAAGAGTACACTGCAAAAGTCATTATATTCTTGTCCCGAACTGATCTGCTGCTTTCCTAAAGCCAAATGTGATGAAGCAGGCAGGATGGAAGGAATTTTTGCTTATTGGATAAGTACCCTAACCTTCAAGCAAATAATTCAAATTGGATTCCCTTCTAGATTTTATTTCCCAATTGATCCTTCAATGTTTTAATCTCAGTTCAGACTGTTAGAATTCTCCTTGCTTTTCAGATATACAGAGCAGAGAATCCATTTGACTTTATGGAGAACATTTCACTTGAAGGCAAGACAAACTTCTTTGAAAAGAGAGTAGGAGAATATCAGAGGATGGGAGTCATGTCGAAACCTACAGATAACTCTTTCACTCTGGATGCAGAATTTTGAATGAACTGAGACCACTTAGGCTGCAATGTGGATGCCCAGCTGTTTGAACGGAGCATTGACTCGAGTCGCATATTATGTACTAAAACACCATTCTTATAAAGTGTGGTGGCATTAGTATTTTTTGAGGAGGGTAGGATAGCTACAGCAGTATAATTGTTAGTAGATATTGTAAATGGTGCTGACTCATAGAGTACTTAGGTGTGTCTCCACTCACTTTGAGAGAGATCAAGTGCCATCCTGCAATGTGGGAGGTTATAGGCGGATACCACTAGCTCCTGGAATTCGCCCAACAAAGCCAAAAAACTTGGGGAAATGGTATAGTCTAACTTTAACTTCTGGTATTTGGCTTTGGATGCAACATAGAAAACTGCATAGGAAATCGCATGATCTCGGTGCTTCTTAGCAGGTTTTAAGTTTACTTTTTACTATTTTTAATAGTTTGTACATAAACCTGGCACTTTAATATTCAAAAATAAAGAAATGTCTTGTAATATTCTTGGAAAATTGTGAAACACAAGCTTATTCTACTCTAATTTTTAGATACAGCCTTAAATGGTATAACTTCATACACTTTTTACCTGTGTATATAACTAAGTATTGGAGTTTGAATCGAGACTTGTTTCTGAAATTTCTCTGAAACTCCTGCTG